GCGCTGCCGATTCGGCTGGGTCACGTTGCACCTGGTCCCCCCGCCCTATCAGCGCGCGACGTTCGGCGTCCCGGACGAGGTCGGCTGTCGGGGCAGGCGCCGAGGGTCGCGCGCGAGTGCCGCCAGATTACCCAGGTGCAGACGCAAACAATACTGCCAGGGCTGCTTCTCGCATTTGAGGAGATTCGGGATATCCAAGAGCGGTGTCACAGTCGCGATGCTGCTGGGCCAGGAACGAGTCGGCGCCGCTACGGGCGTGCGGAGGAAGACCAGGAAGCGGCGGCCCCACGCGCCAGTTGCAATGGCACATGTCGCCGAGAGTGCTGGCGGCGTCGTTCGATCATTCTCGCCGAGCAGCACGCGCGGCTGCTCCGGCGCGAGCGGAGCCACCCCGCCGGAGCGATTTTCGTTCCGCGGGAAGAGGGCAGAGAGGACAAATGTCTCGCTGTCGATCTGGGCGAGCAGCGATGGGGCAACGTGCCTGGCTGGCGCCACTCGGGCGCGCCCCGCAGCCAGGCCTGAAGTCTTCAGGCGTCATGGCGATCGCGAGACCCGCCCCTCGCGAGCGTTGCGACGCTCCTTGCTGATGGCGGCCTCGGCCTTCATCTGATCGGCGATGTGCTCGAGCAGCGTCGGCGAGATGCGCTGGTTGGACCTGGGCCCCCCCGCGCCGTGGCAGTATAGCTGGTCTCGGGCGCGGGCCCGCTGGCCGAGGAAGCGCCGCCCTTGTCGCCCGCCTTGGCCTTGGGGGCCGCCGCGATGGTCGTGGGGGCGAGCGCGCGCGCCTCGTAAACCCGCCTTCTCCAACAGCTGGAGCTGACGGGCGACGACCTCGAACGCGGCCATCTCGGCCATTTGCAGCTGGTCGTAGACGACGGCCAGGTCGAGGTCGCGGCAAAGCGTCTCGTGGACCTTCGCGTACTCGTCATAGTCGGCTAGTGTCGTGAGCCACCTCTGACGCCAAGCAGTGGATGTGCCCGCCGTCATCAACATGAAGGCCAGGCTCCAGAGGGGCGTCCTCGGCACTTCGACAGGCAACCCATGCGCAGGCGTCTCGGTCAGCGCGGTGACGGCCTCGCCGCTCGCCCCTCGCGTTGGTCAGTATACGGAAGTTCCTGAAGGCGCCGCCAGTGAACCGCAGCAGCAGCCAGTGTCGCACCAGGGCCAGCAGCCGCGGCCGCCGCAGGAACGCCAGGGGCAGCGGGGAAGGCCAGAGCCACGCCCGCGGCGGCTGGCGGGGTTTACCCCAACGCAGCAGCCGGTGCCGGCAGCCCAGCGGCCACGCCTGGGGGCGCGGCCGCGGCGGGCGCCGCACATGGCACCGGGGCGAGGGCAGCCGCGGCCCCCGCGGGCGGCGCTGCGCCTCCCACGCCAGCGGCTGGCGGCGGGGCCGCCGCAGGCGCCGCGGGCGGGGTTGCAGGGTGCGCCAGGGGGACACGCCAGGCGGGCCGCTTGCGACGTTCCCAGCCGCGAGCTCCAGGGGCAGCGGGTTGGGCGGCGGCGGGTGGCCTGCCGTCACGGCCCTGGCCACAGCCGCCCACGCCTCGCCTGTGGTGGACAGCCGACGGAAGCGGTGGACGTGGACCCTGACGAGGCCTGGCGGGGTCGTTCCCTGCCACGTCAGGCGGATCACGGCCCGAATATCGGGGCCTGGGGCGTTCGGTTCGTCGTAGCCGTCGAAGTCGGGCGTCAGGATGTAGGAGAACGCCCCCCATTCGACCAGCGTGAGCCGCTCGTGCCACGGGATCGGCCCCGCCGCGCGGTAGCGCACGGCAGAGAACGAGCCCGCCATCATTGCGACGCACGGCTGCGAGTATGCGCGTCGCGCGACTGCTGTGCACCGAGAGCCGCGATGTCCAAGCTGTCCACTGGCGCCGCAGATGCAGGCGTAGACGACGCCCAGCGAGCAGCCCCCACGCCACAGATGAGGCCGAGCATGAGAAGGCCCGCTCAGCCCGCCAGGGACCGCAGAGTAGGACAGGCCTCGGCGACGGGAGTCGAGGTTCCGCAACCCGTCCCGGACGCGCAGTGGCAAGCCAGCTGAAGGCACGTCATTTGAGGGCACGCCAGCGACGGCGAGCAGACACAGTCAGGTCATGGTTCGGTCGAGGCCCCGACTATCGCCGCCACGCCGATCGCGCGGGCCGACTCGGCGGTCAGCAGATCCAGCGCAGCCTGCATCGCCGCCGAGCCCCAGAGACTTGCGAATGGTAGCGCGGCCAGACTGGAGCCACAAATAGCCGCGGCAGCACATTGATGATGATGGTGCTGATGATGATGATGATGCTGATGATGATGATGATGATGATGATGATGATGATGATGATGATCATAATCATGATGCTGATGATGATGATGGTGATGGTGATGATCATGACGTCGACGACGAGGACCACGATTATGATGATGATGCTGGTTATGATGATGGCGATGATGATGATGATGATGATGATGATGATGATGATGATGATGATGTTTATGATAATGCTGATGCTGATGCTGATGATGATGATGATGATGATGATGATGATGATGATGGTGCTGATGATGATGATGATGATGATGATGATGATGTTGCGGATTATGATGATGATGCTGACGATGTTGATGCTGCTGATGATGCTGATGGCGACGCTGGTGGTGGTGATGACGAGGATGACGACGATGATTACGATATCGACGATGATGATTATGATGATGATGGGATGTTGATAAGACTGCCACGGTGATACTGATGATGACGATGATTATGTTGGTGGTCGTGATGCGGATGGTGATGATGATGCTGCTGACGTCGACGATGATGACGACGATTGTGGTGATGACAATGGGGATTATAATAGTGATGGGGGTGATGCTGATGACGATGAGGATGACGCGGATTCTGCTTGTGATGGTGCTGATGTTGATGTTGATGTTGCTAGTAGTGATGATGATGCTGATGATGCTGATGCCGATGAGGATGCCGATGATGATGATGATGCTGGTGATGATGATACTGATGATGACTATGATGATGAACCTGATTGTGATGCTGACGATGATCAGTCGATGATGCTAATGATGGTGATAATGCTGATGATGAGGATTACGATGCTGATGCTGATGATGATAATGATGATGATGAGAATGCTGATGCTGATAATCATGCTGATGCTGTCGATGCTGATGCTGATGATGATGACGATGATGACGATTATGATGATGATGGTGCTGCTGATGATGATGTTGATGACGAGTACTTTGATGATGATGCTGATGATGATGATGATGGTGATTGTGGTGATGCTGATGCTGATGACGATGATAATGCTGATGCTGATGATGATGGTGGTGATGGTGATGGTGATGGTGATGCTGCTGATGATGATGATGATGGTGATAATGATGATGATGATGATGATGATGATGATGATGATGATGATGATGATGATGATGATGCTGACGATGATGATGAGGATGCTGATATTCATACTGATGATGCTGATGATGATTATGATGATGATGATGCTGATGATGATGATGCTGTTTTTTCCTCGACGTCAGGACCAATATCTGATATCAAAATATGGTATACACTGAAACCAGACTTGAGAGATCCGTCGCAGAGAGCCGACTGTCTCGTGTTGCCCCGCTTGGGCCAGACTGCCAGGGTGCTGCTCGGAGGGGCCTCCTGCGCAGCGCGTGCGTAGCAGCGTCGAAATGCTAGCTGAATAATATTGGCCGCTTCGTCTTCGGCATTGAACTCGGGTGGGGTGGGGCCTCCACCTCACGCAGCTCCTCTGCATGTGCTGGCACGGCAGGGGGGGGGGGGGGTGGAGGCACGACGGAGGAGGGCGGGATGTGACCGTGACCGTGCTGCTATTGGCAGGGAGGCTTTAGCCTCGAACAAACATTGACACGGCGTGGACTCGCCTCCTCTGCGCTGTGGCCTGCGCTGTGGCGTGCAGGCTCGCTCTGGCAGAAAGACAGGCTCGCTCAGGCAAAAATGCGGGTTCACTGCTCGAGCGTCTGTGGCCAGTGGCCTACCTCCTCCTCGGGCCAGCCCACTGGGGCCACGCCTCGGTGGTGGACCGCCTGGCCCTCCCACATGGGCGCGCCGATCACCAGCTTCTGCTTGGTGTCATCGTAGCGGTGCCCGAGCCCTCGAAGTGGTCGATGTTTAGGTCTGCTGCGTAGGTCGCTGCCCGCGATGTGTTCCACCGACTGGCAGTTGGACGCGCTTACATCAGGGGTGTCCTCGATGGCGGGCGAGGGGCGGCATCTGGATGGCGCAGGGCGCGGCGGGGGAGCACTTGGAGTGGCCGAGCGCGTGGTAATCCGTTTCTGGCACGACCCGAAGTTGCACTCGAAGGTGGGGTTTGTCTCGTCGTCGGTGTCCGTCCCGTCGTGCGTTGTCGCCGAGAGGAGGGAAGAGGTGCTCACGCTGGCCTCGGGGGGAGCCCGCTGATCCATCTTGACAACTCGGAGGGCCTCCTTTTCTTTGCTAATCTCGGCGTAGGCGTCGTTGAGAGAAGACGCACGGTGGGCGCCCGTCTGGAGCCCAGCAGCAAGTAGGCCATAGTCCCAGCGGATGTTGTTGTTCGTGATGTTGGCGCCGCTGACAGGCATCTTGATCTGCATATTCATGGGGATGTGGTCGGCAACATGTAGTAGGCTACTTAGCTTGGTGTGGATCTTCCAATTCAGCTTCACGTGCTTCACGATTTCCATGACGTTGTCGTGGCCGTTGAAGTAGTTGATGCTTGATCTGGCTTTGTTGTGCCCGTAGTAGGTATTGCCGACGTCGATGTGCATGTTGATGGCTGTCAGCTGGTGCGTCAGGAATTTGTCGTGAATCAAGCGTCCGAGCTCGGACTCGTCGCTGGGTTGGTAGCTGCCGATTGCGTTGTCGGTGCGGCGCTGTCGTGATCGTCGTCCTGGCCCTTGGTTGAGGTCCGTGAGCAGGATGGGCATGACGCGAATAGGGATGTCGGTATGTGCCTGCGGTACCCAGCTCCATGGTCGGCGGCATCCTGCTCTCCAGTGTTGGTAATGACCTGCTCCGTTCGGCCGCGGTGGGGAATGCGCAGCAGTGAGTCGAGAGCGGAGCTGGCCTCGATGAAGCTCGACGGCGCCCGCGCCCCGTAGGTCAGATTGTGTGGGGGGGGGTGCCGTACCTTGTCGATATCTATCTTGCGGCTTTGGCGCTTGGATACTGCGATGCTGCGGTTTACTGAGCTGCTCGTGCGTGCCCCGCGACCCCATCCGAAATGGACCCATGTATGATAGCGGCGGTCCTCGATATGATGCGGGGCGTCGGTAGTGCACTGGCGGATCTGAATGCCTGCGTACATCATAGTCTGATTTGCACGGCATGTGTCGGAGATGTGGTCGAGATGCCCTGGGACGTCCAGTAGTCCTTCGCGAGCTGGGTGTGGATGTAGTGGTCCAGGTGGCAAGTCACGTTCGGCGTGCAATTGTTCCACTGGTAGTAATTCAGGAGCCGCGTGGTGTGATCCTGCATGTGCTGGCCCTCTGTGTTCTGCCTCGATGTCCTCGGTCTCCGCTCGGTGCAGGTGGTTCCGAATGGCACCCTCCATGGAGCCGCCCACGTCACACTTGTACAGTCCTTCCAAGATCGCCAGCGCGAAGGGGGGCGCTGGCGACCCTATCTCCTGCAGGCGTTTCTTGTCCTCTGGGGTGTCGCTCTTCCTGAGGGGGGAGTCCAGGGTGTACTTGTAGCCTTCGATCTCCTGCTTGATGGCTATGATCCCTGGGAGCTCTTTCCTCATCGTGTAGGTGTCCGTATTGTTGCTGCCATTCAGCCTGGTCTTGTGCGTCGTTTGAAGCAGCATGTGGCAAGTCACGTTCAGCGTGCAATCGTTCCACTGGTGGCAATTCAGGGGCCGCGTGGTGTAGTTCTGCATGTGTTGGCCCTCTGTGTTCGTGAGGATGTTGAAATTGAAGCTCAGCGTCCAGTAGTTCGGGGTCAGCGTGTCGTAGTCCTGCCTGTGCTGGCCCTCTGTGTTCGTGAAGCTGTTGAACTTGAAGCTCAGCGTCCAGTCCTGCACGTACTGGCCCTCTGTGTTCGTGAGGATGTTGAATTTGAAGTTCAGCGTCCAGTCGTTCAGGGTCAGCGTGTTGTAATCCTGCATGTGCTGGCCCTCTATGTTCGTGATGATGTTGGAGTTGATTTTTAGTGTCCAGTAGTCCTTCGCAATCTGGGTGGGGTAGTCCATGTGGCCAGTCACGTTCAGCGTGCAATTGTTCCACTTGTGGCAATTCATGGGCCGCGTGGTGTGCCTGTGCTGGCCCTCTGTGTTCGTGATGATGTTGAAGTTGAAGCTCAGTGTCCAGTAGTTCAGGGTCAGCGTAGCGAGTCCTGTGCTCAGCAGGTGCGCGGCGCCCGCGCTCCGGAGCACGGCCATGGCGGCCTGGCGGTGTGCGGGGTGTCGTCAAGCGGCCCCCTGCCTTTTGGGCATGGCAAGGGGGCGGTGACTGGAGGCCGCTGCTCCATCAATGGCCTGAGCGCGCGGCGGCCTTGATGATGCTGAATGATGATGATTCTGGGGTGAGGATGGGATGGTGGTGCTGATGAGGATGCTGATGATGATGCTGATGCTGATGCTGATAACGATGATGGTGGTGGTGGTGATCGCGATGATGGCGATGAGGTTGCGATGTTGATGCTGATTGTGGTGGTGATGGTGATGGCAATTCGTTGGAGGAGGAGGAGGAGGAGGAGGAGGAGGAGGAAGAGGAGGACAAGGACAATGATAATTGCGGTAATGATGATCCAGAAGAGGAGGAGGAGAAGCAACAACAGGAGAGCCGTCACATGTCACACCTTTCGTCTTCACTTCTCGAAGGGTCCTCATGGACCTCATCCGAGTCGTTTTGGGGTCGTCTTCGTGTTTGAGGGGCAGTCTTGGGAGTCCCTTCGGATTCTCTTGAGCCGACTTCGGGCGCGGTCTTGGGGCTCTCTTTGGGCCTTCGTGGCCGTCTGGGGAGCCTTAGGGCCGTCGTGGGGCCGTCTTGCGTCGTCCAGAGGGTGTCTCGGTGTCTCATGCGGCCTTGTGTCCCTCAGGAGGCCCTTTTGGGCAAGCTTGAGCAGCTTGAGGACCTCTCATGTCCGTCCTGGGCTGTCCAGGGGCCTTCTTGGGCTGTCTTGAGGCCGTCTTGGAGGCCTACTGGGCTATCTTGAGGCCCTCTTGGGTCGTCGTGGGGCAATCAGGTTGTGCTCCTGAGCCATAGCTCTGGAACCTGCGTCTGTCTGGCATCGAGAGTACGCAGTCGACGTGCTGTGGCGATCGTGGGCGGTTCGGCTAATGCCCACGTGCCCCAGCATGATGGCGAAGCACTGTGCTGCACCCCTTGTGTTTGAATCGGAGCACTCCCTAGAGCCCTGCTTGCTGATCCCTTGTGCGTAGTGGTGGTCCAACAGGGGTGCAACACGCGAGATCCACACCGAATACCCGGCGTGTCGGGCTGCAGTGCTCTGGGCCGGATGCCGTGAGGGGAACAGGCTTTGTTCATGAGCCATAGCTCTGGAACTTGCGTCTATCTGGCATCGAGATTTCGCAGTCCACGTGCTTTGGCGATCTTGGGCGGTTCGGCTAATGCCCACGTGCCCCAGCATGATGGCAAAGCATTGTGCTGCACCCCTTGTGTTTAGATCGGAGCACTCCCTAGAGCCCTGCTTGCTGATCTCTTGTGCTGAGTAGCGGCCCAACAGGGGTGCAACACGCGTGATCCACACCGAATACCCGGCGTGTCGGGCTGCAGTGCCCTGGGCCGGATGCCGTGAGGGGGACAGGCTTTGTTCATGAGCCATAGCTCTGGAACCTTCGTCTGTCTGGCATCGAGATTTCGCAGTCCACGTGCTGTGGCGATTTTCGGCGGTTCGGCTAATGCCCACGTGCCCCAGCATGATGGCAAAGCACTGTGCTGCACCCCTTGTGTTTGAATCGGAGCACTCCCTGGAGCCCTGCTTGCTGATCTCTTGTGCTGAGTAGCGGCCCAACAGGGGTGCAACACGCATGATCCACACCGAATACCCGGCGTGTCGGGCTGCAGTGCTCTGGGCCGGATGCCGTGAGGGGAACAGGTTCTGTTCCTGAGCCATAGCTCAGGAACTTGCGTCTGTATGGCATCGAGATTACGCAGTCCACGTGCTTTGGCGATCTTGGGCGGTTCGGCTAATGCCCACGTGCCCCAGCATGATGGCAAAGCACTGTGCTGCACCCCTTGTGTTTGAATCGGAGCACTCCCTAGAGCCCTGCTTGCTGATCTCTTGTGCTGAGTAGCGGCCCAACAGGGGTGCAACACGCGTGATCCACACCGAATACTCGGCGTGTCGGGCTGCAGTGCTCTGGGCCGGATGCCGTGAGGGGAACAGGTTCTGTTCAGCCATAGCTCTGGAACCTTCGTCTGTCTGGCATCGAGATTTCGCAGTCCACGTGCTTTGGCGATCGTGGGCGGTTCGGCTAATGCCCACGTGCCCCAGCATGATGGCGAAGCACTGTGCTGCACCCCTTGTGTTTGAATCGGAGCACTCCCTAGAGCCCTGCTTGCTGATCTCTTGTGCTGAGTAGCGGCCCAACAGGGGCGCAACACGCGTGATCCACACCGAATACTCGGCGTGTCGGTCTGCAGTGCTCTGGGCCGGATGCTGTGAGGGGGACAAGTTCTGTTCCTGAGCCATAGCTCAGGAACTTGCGTCTGTCTGGCATCGAGATTTCGCAGTCAACGTGCTTTGGCGATCGTGGGCGGTTCGGCTAATGCCCACGTGCCCCAGCATGATGGCGAAGCACTGTGCTGCACCCCTTGTGTTTGAATCGGAGCACTCCCATGGCACGGGAGCCCTGCTTGCTGATCCCTTGTGCGTAGTGGTGGCCCAACAGGGGTGCAACACGCGTGATCCACACCGAATACCCGGCGTGTCGGGCTGCAGTGCTCTGGGCCGGATGCCGTGAGGGGAACAGGCTTTGTTCATGAGCCATATTTCAGGAATTTGCGTCTGTATGGCGTCGAGATTATGCAGTCAACGTGCTTTGGCGATCGTGGGCGGTTCGGCTAATACCCACGTGCCCCAGCATCCAGCATGATGGCGAAGCACTGTGCTGCACCCCTTGTGTTTGAATCGGAGCATTCCCTAGAGTCCTGCTTGCTGGTGCGTAAATCGACCTACGACCTAGAGACAAACACATGATTCTCGTCTTTTCGGACCCTGCTTGAGGTTCTCTTCAGACCTTGTTGGGCCGTCTAAATAGCTTCTTGGGCTGTCCAGAGGCCATCTTGGGCAGTCCCGGGGCTGCATCGGGCCGTCTTGGGGTCATCTCGGACCATCTAGCTGGCCTTGGTGTCTTATCTGAACCGTTTTGGAATCCATCTTAGGCATCCTGGACGCCTTGGAGAGTGCCAGGGAGGCGTCGGGGCGTCCAGGGAGCTTCGGGAGAGGGGGTGGGGGGCATGCAACAGAGACCATACCAGACAGCACTTGGCATTCTACTTCGCCGCAACGTGCCAGCGGACACGGTGGTGGATCAGTGCGCCCTTGGCAATCGAGCAGTCCCACCATCCCTGAGGGACCCACGCGCCACAGTATGATAGCGGAGCACTTTGATGCATTGCTTTTTGGCTTCATACTGCGAAGGCCTTACGGCCAGTGCCCGACCCTGAAGACGACGACCCTGACCACGAAGCTGCGATCCGATCCGATTCGTGAGTCCTGTGACGCTGAGGCTTGACAAGTACGCGGAGAAGGAGCATGAGGAGGAGGAGGAGGAGGAGGAGGAGGAGGAGGAGGAGGAGGAGGCAAAGGACGACTACGAAGGGCGTGATGCAAAAAGGGCGCGGGTCCGAGATCGGCCAGTGATCGCAAGCAATCTGATCTCGATCCGATTCCCGCCGCTCATGTACCATTGCTGTCGTTTGGGTCGTTGGGGCCCTGTATGGGCCTTCTGGGGGCCTTTTGGGGGCCTCTGGGGTCCTCTTGGAGCATCTTGAGGGCTTTTTGGAACTTGTTGGGTAGCTTTTGAGTGCCTCTGGAGGCTTTTGGGGGATCTCCTGGAGGGCTCCTGGGGCTCTCGGGGCCGAGGGCTCGAAATATCCTTTCGGGTCCTCCGTCTGGACCTGCTTTCGAAGCCCTTCTGGGGCTTCTTGGGCTGTCCTATAGGGTGTTCTTAGGCCCTCCTGGGGGCGTCTTGCGCCGTGTTGGGGGCGGTCTTGGCGGCCTCTGGGGTTGCCGTGGATGTCGTGAAAGCTGGAATGGCGAAGATGGTGAAGAAATATGTTTCCCATAGGAATGAGACAATGCAGGCGAGCTAAGCTTGAGGCCGAGGCCACTGAGGCCTGGCCACTCGAGGCCGTCTAGGCCCTTTCGCGCCGCTGAGGCGGCAGGCGGACTTCGTCCGCCCGACCCCACAACACACCACACCTCCTCCTCCTCCTCCTCCTCCTCCTCCTTGCGCTGCAGCGTCGTAGTCTGCCTCTTCCTCTGGGCGCACCGCCGGAATACGCTTTGACATCCTCCGCCTCCCTCGCCCTCCTCTTTCTCCCAGGAAGAAAGGAGAGGAAGAAGAGGCCCGAGGAGGGAGGCGTAAGCAGGTGGATACCTGGGACCCGCTCCCCCTTCCTCCCAGGTGAAGGACCCCGCCATCGTCTCGATCAACCAGCGGCCACAGGGCAAGGCCGCGGACCGGGGCCCGCCTTCGCCGGCGGGCGCCGTTTCGCGCACCCGGGGGAGGGATGCCTCGCTCCGCGGGCGGGGGGGGTAAGGGTTCTACCTCCGTGCCCTGGAACAAGGCTCGCGGAGGGGCCTAGCTGGCTCAGGAGAAAGAAGGGTATCAATAGGATTTCTTTTGAAGCCGATTTCCATGTTATGGTATGTTCCAGGGCACTGAGTTAGAACCTCCACGGGTAAGGGTTGGAAAGCTTCTCAGATGGAGGCTGCTGCTTCGGAGGCGCCGGCCCTGCACCTGCAGACAAGACCCGCGCCCTCTAAGGAGCAGGCGTGCTTCTGAGAAGCTTTCCCCGGCCCCCCTCCCTGCCCCCCGCTTGTGCGCGTGGCCGATTGGGAGGAGGATTGGGGGAACGGGCCGGACACGTCACGATTCGGGCCAGCGCCGTCTGAGAGTGCTTTTGGGAACGGCCAGTTCCCACACGGTGCCGGCGCGAATCGTGACGGGGGGGGGCGGGGCCAGTCACGGGCGAGAACGGCATACGCATAATTCCTCGGAGGTCCGCGCAGGTCTCTGGGACCGGCGTTGGGTCCCCCTTGCGGCGCCTCCTGCGCCGCTGCGCCGCTCCCGGCGCCCTCCGCGCGCCAGGGAAGGGGGTCCAGCGCCGATTCGAGAATTTATGTTTATGCACTTGTTCGGTCGTCTACTTCCTCCTTCCTCTTTCCTTCGCCCCTCCCCAGTCGTGGGGGCCACCTCCGGCAGTAGTGCGAGATGTTTGGGGTCTCGGCAGCCTCGTGGGCCATTCTGGAAGGCTCTCGGGGCCCCGAGCGATGGGGAGGTCGCCGCCCTCCCCGCCCCTCTTGCGGAGCACATGTCCGACCCGCTTCGATGTCGAGGTCGGCTGGCCCGGTCCGATTCGCTTCCAGTAAGTACTCGGTCGGAGGTTGATAGACCTCCTACCTTGACACGTCGATTCAGGAATTGGCCGTTTTCGGTTCGCGAGATGGCGTCGCGGCCGTCATTTTTGCGGATCCAGGTTTGTCGGTTTCGGTCCTAGGCCTTTTTCACTAAGGGGAGGTTTACTAAAGGGAGGTTTGTCCACCGCCGATTCGGACGATCCGATGCGGCTTGGTGCGTGCAGTCGGGGAACAAATGTCGACGTGGGCATAAACGTTCGGAGGTCCGCGCTGATTTCTTGGATCGGCGCTGGACTCCCCTGGCGGCGCCTCTGGCGCCGCCCCTGGCGCGTTCCGCGCCCAGGGAGGGGGGCAAAGTTGAATTGTGTCGACGTGGCGAACGCGACCGGGGCCTTCTGGGTGAAAAATGCATGGAACATCTCGGGGGAAATCTCCAAATAATTGTATTTGGGCATTCCCAGAATGTCCAGGAACTCTCCAGGCTCGGAGATCTTGGGGGAATCTCCAGAACATCTCCGGGGTTTTACAGATCTCCAGCGAAATCACGCGAACATCTTTGCGGTGTAGGAATCTCCGCAAACTCGCAGGAAAATCCCCGGCGTGCAGAAATCTCCAAAACATCTCAGGACAACCTCCAGCGAATCTATGAAGGATATCCGGCGTGCGGAAATCTCCCATAAATCTCCGGAAGTTGTACGTAAAGTATATGGATCTCTGGCGGAGATTTCGTTTGAGTTGTTCCCAACCATCCTGTGGTGTTGGGTCCTCGTTTTGAAGAGACGGTCCCCGCGTTCCTCCTCTCCTCTCCTCCTCCTCCCCCTCCTCCCCCTCCTTCCCTCCCTCCTCCTTCTTCCATGCGTTTCACCCACCCAGCACAATGCTTCGTGGCCCCATAGGGAGCTCCACCGAAGCCCCCAGTAGGACCGCCCGCATGCGTCCGCCACCACCCAGCACAGCCCTTGCTCCCTGCGTTTCACCCACCCAGTACAGCGCTTCGTGTCCCCATAGGGAGCTCCACGGAAGGTCCCAGTGGCATCGCCCGCATGCGTCCGCCACCACCCAACACGGCCCTTGCTCCCTGCGTTTCGCCCACCCAGCACAGCGTTTCGTGGCCCCATAAAGGGTGCTCCACCGAAGGTCCCAGTGGCACCGCCCGCATGCGTCCGCCACCACCCAGCACAGCCCTTGCTCCCTGGTCCCAGTGGCACCGCCCGCATGCGTCCGCCACCACCCAGCACAGCCCTTGCTCCCTGCGTTTCACCCACCCAGTACAGCGTTTCGTGGCCTCATAGGGGGCTCCACCGAAGGTCCCAGTGGCACCGCCCGCATGCGTCTGCCACCACCCAGCACAGCCCTTGCTCCCTGCGTTTCACCCACCCAGTACAGCGTTTCGTGGTCCCATAGGGGGCTCCACCGAAGCCCCCAGTAGGACCGCCCGCATGCGTCCGTCCCAGTGGCACCGCCCGCATGCGTCCGCCACCACCCAGCACAGCCCTGCGTTTCGTGGCCCCATAGGGGGCTCCACCGAAGGTCCCAGTGGCACCGCCCGCATGCGTCCGCCACCACCCAGCACAGCCCTTGCTCCCTGCGTTTCACCCACCCAGTACGGCGCTTCGTGGCCCCATAGGGGGCTCCACCGAAGGTCCCAGTAGGACCGCCCGCATGCGTCCGCCACCACCCAGCACAGCCCTTGCTCCCTGCGTTTCACCCACCCAGTACAGCGCTTCGTGGCCCCATAAGGGGGCTCCACCGAAGGTCCCAGTGGCACCGCCCGCATGCGTCCGCCACCAGTACAGCGTTTCGTGGCACCATACGAAGCTCCACCGACGGCCCCAGTGCTACCGCTCGCATGCGGTCTTCCCCACCCAGTGCAGCGTTTCGTGGCCTTCTACGGAGCTCCACCGAATGATATATTCACAATTGCGGTACCCACAACTGCATGTGGATGGGTCTTTCGTCAGGATAATTTTAAAGGTGCGAAGTTGTTTGAGCTTCGGCGGAAGATTTTCAGGCGCGAGGATTAGATATTTGCGGGGATCCTCCCAGAGGTCGCGTTTGCCATCATCGACCCAGTCTAAGCCTAGTACCGATCCCAGAAAGTTCATGTTTATGCCATTCCTCTTTCGCCGATGCATGGCGCTGTCGTGCATCCTGGCGCGGCCGGTCCGATTCGATTCCGAACTTGTGCCGATGCCGGCCGATCCGACGCACGCTGCGACGCACGCTCCAGTTTCGGCCGATTCGGTGCGAATTGTTGATCTCTGCCTCCTTCGGTTCCCCACCCCTCCTTCGGCTTGCGGGGGGGGGGACCACACGGGAACCACGCCTGGGGACCTTGCGGCGGGATTCATCGCAGTTGCTCTCGAGCCTCGTAGACTGCCGACCACATCTCCCCCGTCCTTCGGAACCCCTCTCTCGGATGGGATTCTTGGCATCTGGGGAGCCGGGCATCCCAGGGCGGGGGAGCCGGGGATTCTTGCCCCTTTCGGCCCGTCCCTGGCAGCTTTCGCGGGCCAGCCCCGCTCGACAGGCGTCCACATGGCTTCCCAAGGCCTTTGCGTCCTTACCGGCACTTCCGCCACGCGGCCGGCCACCTTGGCCACCACGCGGCGGGCTCGGGCCCCCGCGCGCGCCGCGGGCCCCGCGCCAGAGGCCGCGGAGGAGGGGCGCCAGAAAGGCGGCAGCGGCGATGCTCCTGGAGGCGCGTGGGGGGGGAGGACGATGACGATGACGACGACGACGACGACTATGACGACGACGACTTCTACGACGATGATGATGCTGATGATGTTGTTGATGATTGTGATGATGATGATGATGATGATGATGATGATGATGATGATGATGATGATGATGATGATGATGGTGGTGATGGTGCTGATGATGATGATGATGATGCTGATGCTGATGCTGATGATGATAATCCTGGTGCTGATGATGGTAATTATGATGATTATGCTGATGATGCTGCTGTTGATGCTGACGCTGATGCTGATGATGCTGACGCTGATGCTATTGATGCTGATGCTGATACTGATGCTGATGCTGCTGATGATGGTGATGATGGTGATGCTGGTGGTGATGATGATGATGATGATGATGATGATGATGATGATGATGATATGGTGATGATGTTGCTGCTGATGATACGGTTCATGAGGATGTTGTTGATGATGATGATGATGATGTTGTAAATGGTGATGATGATGCTGATGATGCTGATGATGATGCTGATGCTGCTGATGATGCTGATGATGCTGATGATGATGACGCTGGTGATGATCAGGATGATGATGCTGATGATGATGACTGGTGGTGGTGGTGGTGATGGTGATGATGATGATGCTGATGATGATGATGATGATGATTCTGATGATGCTGATGAGTATGAGTATGCTGATGGTTATGATGATGCTGCTGATACTGATGATGATGATGATGACTACGATACTTATGATGATGATGATTATGATGATGATGATGATGATGATGATGATGATGATGATGCGGATGATGATGATGCTGCTGATGATGATGATGATGATGATGATGGATGCTGATGGATGCTGATGCTGATGATGATGATCATGATGCTGATGATGATTGTGATGGTGATGAAGGTGATGCTGTTGGTGATGGTGATGGTGATGGTGATGACGATGATGATGCTGCTGCTGATGATTATGATGCTGATGATGATGATGATGATGATGATGCTGTTGATGATGATGATGATGATTATGATTATGATGATGATGATTATGATGATGATGATGATGATGATGATGATGATGATGATGATGATGATGATGATGATGATGATGATGATGATAATCATGATGATGATGATGATGATGATGATGATGAGGCGGAGGTGGAGGAGGAGGAGGAGGAGGAGGACGATGACGATGATGAGGACGATGACGATCACGATGACGATGATGATGATGATGATGATGATGATGATGGTGATGATGCTGATGATGATGATGATGATGATGATGATGATGATGATGATGATGATGATGATGATGATGATGATGATGATGATGATGATGATGATGATGATGATGATGATGATGATGATGATGATGATGATGATGATGATGATGATGATGATGATGATGATGATGATGATGATGATGATGATGATGATGATGATGATGATGGGGGGAGGCGGCTGGCCTGGCTCGGCGGCGAGGGAAGGGCAAGTGAGAAGGATAAGTCCCTCTTGGAAGGCGGCGGGGCTTCTCAGAAACCCTCGGGCCTCCCGAAAGGTTTTCTGTGCCTTCGGGGAAGGCTTGGAAAACTTCTTGGAAGGCCGGAGGCCTTCCGAGGCTTCTGAGAAGGCCCGCCCCCTGTCCCTTCCCCCCCGTTGTTGGCCGCCAAGCTGGCCTGGCAGGGGAGGAGGGTCGGGGGGGTTGGCTTGGCGGGGGAGTTGGGGGGGGAAGCCGGAGGGGAGAGGGTGGGGGGGAGGTCAAGTTGGCCAGCTGGAACGAGCCAGGGGGCTCCGTCCACCCCCACCCGCCCTCCCACAACATAAGAAGCAAGTGCGTCGCGTCCGACGCCTGTCGCTCATCTTATACTGTGGGCGGCTAGACGTTCAGCGCGCGACATGAGCCGCGTACTATTCCTGCCGCGTGTTGAATAACGTCGACGAGAAACAATACCGCGCGCGATGTACACCGCGCCCCGTTCTGGCCTCTCATGTTGCATCGTCGGCGACAACATGTCTCATGTCCAGCGCGCGAAGTGCGCCGCGTCTCATTCCAGCCACGCGTGTTGCACCGCCAATCGTTTCGCTCCTGCCGCGCATGGAGGATGGGGAGGAGGAGGAGGAGGAGGAGGAGGAGGAGGAGGAGGGGAGGGAGAAAGGGAGGGAGGGAGAAACTGAGGAGCAAGAGGAGAATGCCTCTTGGGAATTCGCGGGCCGTCCGGTTCCTGCTGCGCGATTCGCAGCGCCGACGAGGAGAAAGTACATGTTGGCAAGAACAACGTCGACGTTGCTTTGTTTTTTGGCAGGTAGGACGGGGGTCCCGCGTAGGGTTGGCCAGGCGTCCTCGCGCGATGTGCGCCGCGTCCAACTCTTGCTACACTTTTCGCAGCGTCGACGACAATACATTCCATGTTGTCGAACAAAACGTTGACTTTGCATTAGATTCTGACAGGTAGGACGCGGCCACCCGCTTAGGGTTACCCGATCGATGTTCATTCCGTCATATTCCAGCTGCATTTTTCGGTGCGTCGGCGACAATAAATTCCATGCTGTCGAGCAAATCGTTGACTTTGTATTGGTATTTGATGGGTAGGACGCGACCGACCGCTTAGGGTTACCCAAGCGATGTTGTTTCCGTTTTATTCGTGCTACACTTTTCACAACTCGACAACATGTTGGTGGGGACAAATTGAGTTTGTTCTGTTTTTTTAAAGTTCGTACGGCGGGGCTGCTGTCGGCTGGCTAGGTGGGAGTTTGGGGGTGATGGGGGAGGCTTAGCGGGGGGCGAAGGAACCCCTGCCGCTCAGAGGCCGCAGCGCCTGGGTTTGGCCTTTCCCCTTCCCGCCGCCGCCGCCCGCCCCCTTACCTTGAAGCTGCGCACCAGAGGGCGCCTTTGCCCACGGTCGCTCCTGTGTGAGGATTCAGGACGGGAGCGGGGTGGGGGCTGGACCGAGGAACGAGGCACGATGATCATGACCAAGATGTCGCGGGGTCTTGTCGATGCCGATCTTGGTCACGGTCCATGCTGGTCGTCGTCGATTCGTGAGAGTGACCCACGGACTTACGCGGACCATAATGGATGATGGACAAGATCAGCAGCGACCGCCGAAGACTCTGAGAGGAGCAAGGGGTCATTACAACGAAGCGGAGCGCCGAAACGGCCGGGCGCGGCGCTTCCGCGAGTTTTCCCTTCCAGCCCAGGTCGGGGGCCGCGGCCCGCGAGCCGCGAGAGGCGCGTGCCAGCGATCGTGCCACGCCCCGCCTCGGCGGGCGCATTCTTCCAAGTCCTCCCTCTCCTACTCCTCTCCTCCTCCTCCTCGTCCTCATCCTCTCCTCTTCCTCTTCCTCCTCCTCCCCTTGCCTGCCTCCTCCCCCCTCCTGCCTCCCCGCCCCTCGCCCTGCCTCCCTCCTCCCTCCCCTGCCCCCCCCTCTACGCCCTCCTCCTGCCCCTCGTCCCCCCTTCGTGCCCCTCCCTCCTCTCCCACCCCTCCCCCTTGCGTGCCCCGGGCGCGTGCACAGGCGCACGGCCGGCACGCACAGCCCTCCGAAGCCTCCGCGATGGCACGAGATCGGGTACAGCCAGGACCCCAGGCACAGTCAACCGTGATAGTAAGGATGGGGCAACTTTCCAAGGCTACCCCTGAGTCGGGCGTGTCCCCCTACAGTGGGATTTCTGATTATTGCGAAGGCCTTACGGCCGGTGCCGCCGACCCTGGAGGGCGACCCATGCGTTCTCGTATGTGGCGGCGGCGGCTCGGGCGGCTCGGGCGCGGCCCCGAAACAATAAAGAATCCCTACGTGCAGTACTTGCGGGGGGGGCGTCGTATCTGAGTGGCGCCCCCCCCCCGGGACCCCCCCGCTACCCCCCCCCCCTCCCGGCGGGGGAGGGATCAAAGGGAAGGGGCTTCCCTTCGACTCAAATACGACGTTGCTGAAGTTCATTTGGGCTGGCGCGCTTGAGCAGGGGCCCCTGCTGGGAAAGAGGACGGGAGTGGCGACGGGCCCACGGAAAGGGAGGCGCAAGGAAGGGGGACGACAGAGACGACGACCAACGAACAACGGGGATGACGTCTCGAACGGAAAAGCCCCTCACACACGCCGACAGGGTCGGCGGACTTTCCAAGGCTACCCCTGAGTCGGGCGTGTCCCCCTACAGTGGGATTTCTGATTATTTTTTGATGATTTCTGGGGTATCTTATGTTTGCTCGTCGAAAATCCCCCTGTAGGGGGACAGGCCCGACTTAAGGCTACCCTTGCCTCCTTGCCCCTTCGGTATTCGGCACCCTTCGGCATTCTGCTGCGCTCCGCACGGAAAACGTCTACATGGCGTGCCAGGGCCCTTGCATCCTTGCCGCGCGTCCTTACTATCCTGGTCGAGTGCAAGGGGACCCGGTCAGTGGTAGGGCCCCGGAGCCCCTGATGTGGCCAGAATCACTGAACCAGGTCTGCCGTTCGCCGGTGTTTTTTCGGGTGGCGGCGGCTCCCGTTCGTGGAAGGGGGCGGGGGGGCGTCCCCTAGTACACATCACTAAACCAGGTCCCACTAAACCCAGTTCTGCCAACGCTCGATGCATTCCTGGGGTCAGACTTGTCCCGTGGCCTCGAGGTTTTCCTGTCGTCCCGCGTGGCCAGAGGCGCATGGCCGAGTACGAGGGGCCGAGGGCCGCCAGAAGCTCTGGCGCTCTCGAAACGAGTCCTGAGCCAATCGTGTCAGGGGTCGAGGGGAGGGCTCGACTGTACGTTTAGACGAAGAGGACGGCATAAGCTGAATCTCGCTGGGTTCCGAGGACTGCCTGGACCGGCGCCGGACCCTCTGGCGGAGAGCCTCCGGCGCCGCTCCTGGCGCGCTCCGCGCCCCAGGGAGGGGGCTTGGTGCCGATCCAAGAGAGCCGCGCAGGCCTCCGACTGTTCCTGCTGATGCAGCGTGTGGTTCTTCCAGCGTCGACGTGGCCCTTCGCTTAAGCCGGGCCTGTCCCCCTACAGGGG